GGGAGCTGAAGTCCAAAACACCTGGAAGACCAGAGATTGGGAATCACTGGACAAGAGGAGTCTGGGGAGTTTCTGAAGGGAGAGTGCTGCCCCTCTATCAGGGTCATCTGCTTGAGGCATCCCATGGATTCTACTTCTGTTGCAATGTGGGTGGTTGCAACCACAGCAACCACCACTGAACCGCAGCAGGACGAGCAACAGGAGTGATGAAGCTGCTGGTGGGATGAGGGTAGTTTCAATAGGGTTGGCAGCCCCAGGAGTGACCTACCCATGCTCTACTGCAGTGGTTTCCAAACTTTGGTCCTCCAGATGTTTGGGACTTCAGCTCCCCAAATTCCTCACTTTTGATCAAGCTGGTTGGGGCTTCTGGGAGTTGAAGTCCAAACTACCTGGAGTGACTAAGTTTGGGAATCATTGCTCTACTGCCTGGCCATGGCAGGAATCCAGTTGCCACTTACAGAGTTGGTGAGGCTTCCCTCCTCACTGGATCAGCATTAGACCCTGTGAATGTAACGTGGCTTCTCTTTAAACCATGCACAGGGTTAATCTCAATACATAAAGTGAAACATAGGAACAATTTACCAATTTGTTCAATCCATAAATGAGCCAGTTCATTGCTTCTCAGGCTATCTGATATGTGGACCAGTTGTTGTTTCTTAATGTGCCAGGGATTGGCAACATATTTGTCTCCAGTCTTTCCAAGAAACTTGCTACAGATGACCATACGATGATGACCATTGAATAGCACAGGGCTAGTCACTTGTTCAAAAACTGGTCACTTTTGTGAGGCTTATTTTGAAGGCTTCGTCATTACGTTTACTCCAAGAAAGAGGGGCAGGGATAAAAATGGTGAAAAGAAGATAAAATAAAACCATTTCTTTCCCTATCACAATGTTATAAAGTAAAGTCAAACTTGCAGTGAGCTTTTAAATACAAGGATAGTGATCTCTAAATCATATGAAGGTTTTAACCATTCATGTCCAGAATGAGAACAAGGGCTCAAGTTCAAATAGCCAACATGCACTATCTACTTGTCCATATAAAACTTTGGTGTAAAAATAAGAACACTAGCTGTGATGTACTTAAAACAGATGAGACCATCTGGGAAGAAGTCAACTGCAATTTCCTTAGATTTAATTATTCAGTGAAAGACCACTGATGGGACTGACCAACTGACCAACACACATACACGCCCTACAAAAAAGCGAACATAGCAAAATGTATGGAATTTTAGCCTAAATAGCTTTTAAAAGGGGACAGAGAAAAGGCAGAATTACTCAACACCTTCTTTGCTTCAGTCTTCTCAGAAAAGGCAAAGGATGCTCAACCTGAGGATAATGGAGCAGAGGACAGAATAGGAGAATTTCAGCACAGAATAAATAAAGAGATAGTACAGAAATACCTGGTTAATCTAAATGAATTTAA